AGAAAAATTATAGATTTGTAGAAATGCATCAAACCTAAATCATTTATATTGACCTTTAAATAATATGCCAAATAAAAATCAAGATCTATATTGTGGAATCGAAAAAAAATTCGTCCAAATCCCATGCGTGGCACGGGTAGAAATACTAGTACTATATATATAGTAGTTTTTCAATATAAAAATGTACTACCTCCTTACACAAATTTTCCAGCTTAAAAAAGGTGAGATTTAAGGAATGGATAATTTTGGTTTAGTTTTCAATTTTGCTCTTATTTTATTGCTCGATATAAGATATGATAGGATGTGATGTGTAGATTAATAGTGAAAATATCTGATATTATAGGTAGGTTAATAACCAATAGGAATAAAATAAAATTGTATTCCCTCCGTCGGTCCGTCCCAATTTAAATCACATGTTTCAATTTACGATGTTTGAGTTTGACTAATCAATTATTTACTTCATTAAATTTCAAATCGTTTTATATGAAAAATAGTGTAGAATTAAAAAATAAAAATTACATATTTAAAAATTATATCAAAAGATCTACATAACTAATGGTGACATGATTATATTATTTTATCAAATGACTAATAAACATATGAAAAAAAAGTGAATAAAGTGATCCCGTGAATAGTAAACACGTACCCCGGAGTAATTTAATTTGGCGGAAGGAATATTAAAAAGTGAAAGTGTTTTTTGAGACAGATGAAAAGTGAAAGTGATTTTTTTGTTAGACGGAGGTATTAGAATATAAGATACAAAATCCAATTCTTCAAGGTAAATGTTACGGAGTAATGGAGTATATTGAACATAAGCTTTACACAGTTTTAGATGGAGCTACAGTTAGGGGTGTAAACGGATATTAATCGAATCGGATGTGCCATTATCAAATCCGTATCCGTTTATTTTTGTTGATATCGAATTCGGATACGGATCTTGGCGGATACAGAAAATCAGAATTGTATCCGTATCCGTCGGATATCGGATATATCTGTATCTATTTCCAATTTTTAAAACCAAATTAAACAATACTTTAATTTTAAATTGGATTAAAGTCAAACTATTATTAAATCAACTATAATTTGTTATGAGATGATTATTGTCTTTGTTTTCATTATTAATGATATTCTACGATAACTTCATATGATAAAAAGATATACACAGCACACATATACACATATTTTTATATGTTTGCAAATATTTTTATGTGTCTACACATTTATTTTGTATATAAAAATGTCTTATACTTTAAAATATCAATAGAGAAACAAAATATTAACATAAAAAAATTAGAAAAAACTATATATAACGGATCGAATATTCGGATAAATGGTTATTTAAACGAATGCATATTCGGATTGGATTTTAAACGGATCGGATATACAATTACCAAATCCATATCCTTTTAGTAATCGGATATCCTTAATCGGATACGGATAATATCCGTTTTAAACGGATGCAGATATTTCCTCTTTAAATGAATACAGATGCGGACAATAATCGGATTTTCGACTATCCGTTTACAGCCCTAGTTACAATTAAGGGTGGTAAAGAAATGCTTACTTGCCGGATGTTGACCTTTTTTAAACAAAAAAAAAAATCTATAAATACTTTCAATATTGATTGTGGTCAAAAATTAAGAAGGGTTATTTGAAATTGACTTTCCAATTTTTCAGTTTTTTCTAATTTCTTCCAACTATATTTATTTTCTTCAAATTCTTTCTACTTTCTAACAAATCACTCTAAAAAATTTATTATTATTATTATTACAACTTTTTTTTAATTACAACTTTTATGTTCATAACTATAGTTTATAAATTATTTCATTTTTTTCATCTCCCTATTTTTATGATTCACATTCATTATTATTTTTTCTTCAACTTTTTAATATGAATAATATCGTTGTTTTGTATATTAATCTACATGAAAAATTAGGAAACTATTTAAAAAATTATGGATAAATAGTTATATAGAATATTTGTTAATCTAAATTTATATAAGGTAAACATCAATATTTTAATCTAAAATATAAAGTATGGAATGTGGTGGGGAGTACTACATTATGAAAACTAAGAGAAAACTACATTTTGAAAAAGAAAAAATGACCCAAGAAGTGTAATATTTATGCTAATTTTATATTCTAATTATTTTTTTAAACTAGCTTTTATATATGAAAAATAATACTCGTAATGTTTTTTTATCTTAAAGATAATCATTAAGATAACGTGATAACACCACCACNCACCACCACCACCACCAACAACAACAACAACAACAACAAGAATAATAATAATAATAATAATAATAATAATAACAACAACAATAACAATTTATAAAAACAAGAATCAAAATGAAAATAATATAAAACCACACATAAAAAATTTTTCAAAAACTTTTTTTAGATTTTTCAATTTTTTCTAGTTTTTTCAGTTTCTTTTAATTTTTTTCAGTTTTTCCAATTTCTTCCAGTTCCTTCCAGTTGTTCCAATCCCTTCCAGTTTCTTCCAACATCTAGCTCTTTTTTTTCTTTTTCACCAAAATACTTCCACTTGTATTTTTTCCTCATTTGGCTTTTCAAAGTTTCTAATACGCCCTCTGTTATACAAAAACACATACTCTTTCATTTTTTTTCTTTTTCAACTAAATACTTCTACTTTCAATTAAAAATCAGTTTTAATTTACCCTAACCTTTTCTTACCCTACCTATCATATCATATGTTTTCTCTAATATTCTCATCACATCTTACTTTTATCATCACATCAAGGCAAAATTGAGAGTCAACTACAATTTAACACTTCATTATTTTAACACTTAGTCAAAATTTGAATTATTTTCAAGAACGGAGAGAGTACTACATTTTGACTATTAAGATCTCTATTTTATACTCCCTCCGTCCCTTTAACTCTTTCTCATTTCTTTTTTTCTTGTCTCACAAACTCCTTCCATTTTCCTATTAAAAAAACTATTTTTACCCCTACTAATTCTTACCTTACCTATCACATCATATATTTTTACTAATAATCTATCCATCACTTCCTACTTTTAACCATCACATTAAAGGTATTTTTGGAAAGTTAACATAAAAATATATCTTTCTTAAATTTTCAAAAGATCAATAAGGGAGGAACTTTATGGACGGAGGGAGTATAAAAATCAATACATAAAAATTATACTCCAAAGCTATGTTTCAAATCAAATATATTGATGATAAATTTATATCACTTTTCTATGTACATTTTTCCATAAATTGTTATCAAAATTTTAAAAAGTTGAAGAGATAGTCAAAATAATTAAGAAGAAATATACACGAGAAAACTATTGATCTCTCCCTATCAAAATCTTAAATCATCCACCAAACCATAGTAGTCCAAAGTTATTAGTTCTAATCCACCAAACAATAATAGTTTAAGTGATTAGTTCATTTCTAATCCACCAAACAATAATAAGTATTTAAATGAATTAATACTCCCCCACCCCACAGTCCCACACACACCAACTGTACGTGCATGATTTGAAACTTGTTTTCACTCGTTTAATTTTTCATAAACAAACACCGGAGTATTAGTTAAAACTTAAAAGTAAAACATGCATATACTTCCTCCGTCCCAAAAAGTCTGACACGTTTTGAAGAAACTGCGTCCCATAAAGTCCGTTATATTTCTATTAAAAAACCACTTTTACCTCTTATTTTTTCATAACCTACCTATCACATCATACCTTTTTCCTAATAATCTACCCATCACATCCTACTTTTACCCATCACATCAAGGATATTTTTGGAAAGTTAACACAAAAATATCCTTCCCTTAATTTCCCAAAAAGTCAATATGTACTAATCTTTTTGGGACCGAGGGAGTATCTATTAACAAAAAGCAATGTGAAACAGGTTTGGAGTCATTTGTGAGCAATTATATACTTAACTTTTTCCATAGTTCAATACAACAAATAATTACTTCCTCCGTCCCAAAAAGTCCGACACGTTTCGAAAAAACTGCGTCCCGTAAAGTCCGTTACATTTCTATTAAAAAACCACTTTTACCCTTACTTTTTCATACCCTACCTATCACATCATACCTTTTTCCTAATAATCTACCCATCACATCCTATTTTTACCAATCGCATCAAGGGTATTTTTGGAAAGTCAACACCAAAATATCTCTCCCTTAATTTTCCAAAAAGTCAATATGTACCAATCTTTTTGGGACGGAGGGAGTACTTCCTAGTTCCTCCCTCCTATAGAATTTGTCAATTTTTTATTCTTTGCAGTCAAAATTACTCTCTTTGTCTCTGAAACTCTTCATGTTTGGATTTTTTTAGTTATATAGTGACACTTTTTATGATAAATTGTGATCTGAGAAAAGTATATTGAATAACTATTATATGAATTTAATATAATTAGATTCATCTTAGGATATAATTTTGATATATCAAATTTTTATAACATATACTCCTTCTGTCCCAAAAAGAATGTCACAGTTAATTACTCCGTACTATTTTGGTCTCGCAATAATTTTTGTTTGTTTACTCATTTTGGTTGAGCACTTGATAAAATAAAGTATTTTTGTCGCATCCTGTTCTGTAGAAATTTGATGTACTTTTGAATGGTGTAATATTTATATTTATTTTTCTACTAATTTGTAAATAAAATGATTTTAAAAAAGATGATATTTGTACGTCTTTCGAAATGTTGCAAATATTTTGGGATAGAGGGAGTATTTATTTAGATTACGTTTAATTTATGATCAAAGAATGTCGTTATTTGACGGAAAAAGTCAAAACAAAAAGAGTTTTCAGGGACAGAGGGAGTATTAAATTCTGACCATAAATTGAATAAAATTTATTGGTACAAGAATAAATTTAACATATTTAATTATCTTGTAAAAAAATTAAAATATTATTTCATCTAATAATATATCATGTAATTTTTATTTGATTATAGGCGAAAGATCGTTATTGGTTAGCTATAAAAAGTCAAAACTGAACAAATTAAGTGAATACCCTGCCACCCAAACACTTAGTTCCCTCAAAGTTGACAATTCCATTGTAAACTCTTGTGTTTGAAACCAAACCAATTTGCTAGCTAGCTAGCTATATAAAGACCAACTCCCCTATCTTCATTTCACAAATCCAACCACTCATCAACCTTAGCATTTGGCAAATGAATATGTCTTCTTCAAGGCAGTTCATCTTCTCCCTCTTCTTGATCTTCTTCTTCCTCCATGCCAACTCCATTTCATCATCTCCTACTCCTCAACAACACAAAATTAGAGTGAAGAAGGCCATAACCCCATGCCAAACTCTAGACTTCTACTTCCATGACATAATATACAACGGTCAAAACTCCCACAATGCCACTTCCGCCATTGTGGGAGCACCGTCCTGGGCCAACCGGACCATCTTAGCGGACCAAGGCCACTTCGGAGACGTGGTCGTGTTCAACGACCCGATCACGTTGGACAACAACCTCCACTCGAAGCCCGTGGGGTGGGCCCAGGGGTTTTATCTGTATGACAGGAAGGACGTGTTCACTGCATGGCTAGGGTTCACTTGTAGCTTCAACACCACCAAGCATAGGGGTACCATTAACTTTGCTGGAGCTGACCCTTTATTGAACAAGACCAGGGACATTTCGGTCATTGGTGGGACTGGGGATTTCTTCATGGCTCGAGGCTTTGCCACTTTGATGACCGATGCATTTGAGGGTGCAGTGTACTTCAGACTCCGCGTGCTTGTTAAATTGTACGAGTGTTGGAAATAATTAATTTCTCATATATATTTTCAAAACAAAAAAAAAACCCATAGTTTTCTTTTTCTATGGAGTTTTATTTTACTATATGAAAAAAAACCATAGTTTTCATTTTCTATTGAGTTTTATTTTACTATATGATTTGTGTATTTACTGTATGCTCTACATCATCTCACGTTTTTACTTGCATGTTTAGTCACACAGACAAATTATTGTGTCAGTGTGAATAAAAAATAATTTTGTGCAAGTAAAATATGGGGTAGTAGTATATATATAATGATCATGTAGAGTGCAAAATAATCTTCTTCGTTTTTATCGAGTCATCTCTGTTGGTTGAAATGTTTTGGTTTATACTACTATCAAATGCGGAGTACATGGAAATATGACATGTATACATATAGTGTGTTTCTTTTTTATTTGTTTTGTTTTTCCACTTCAATTTGCATAATAAAGTTCGAACACTTTACTTACTCCGTACTTCTTACCTTATTTTATGGAGTAATAATTTAATTATTCTATATACAAGAGGAAATGTTATCTGATGTCTCCCACCAAGACTTTTATATATATCTTTTCAATTTTCTTTTTCATACAAGAGGAAATGTGGTGAGAATGTGAGGGACACCATTTTGCATCAATTTTTTCATTTTGCAACATTTTATCTTCGCTAGTGGTGTCCCTACATCATTTTGCATCAATTTTTTCAAAGGAGAACTATGTGAAATTGAAGTGAAAGACAATGGAAATATGAAAATTGAAGCTGCACTCTTTTTTTACCTAATTAATTAGGAGTGCACATTATCACCTGAGCCCTGTCGTTGGTCGTTAGAGCATCGACAGTGGTCACTAGTGTTGACCACCGCTGACGGGTAGTCCCCACTACACTGTCACCACACATCGACAGTGGTCACTAGTGTTGCCATCATTTATAGTTTCATCATTCACAATGACGGACTCAGGATTTCTAGAGAGAGGGGTCACTCCCCTAAAGTGTTCTTTAGGGGTGGACACTTAGCTTACACTATGTTTGGTTCAAGAAACTTGGAAGGAAAAGAAAAGAAAGTGATGATTTTCTCTCATTTTTCTCACCAAAATGTGAATAATTTGATTTTCGCTCCACTTAGTACATTTTACTTTCTCATTTTGTTTTCCTTTCGCTTTTCTTTTCTTTTCCTCTCTAACCAAACAAGAAAAAGTACTTTCTACTTCATTTTCTTTTCTTTTCCCTTCTAAATTCGTTGAACCAAACATAGTGTTAGGGAGAGTTCATTCGTTTTTAGTTAAGAAAAATGGTGAGTGGCACAAATAAAAAATGAAAATTATATAATACGAAGTAATAAATCTAAAACGTTCATTGTAAAGAAAATAAAGAATCATTGAGTAGCATTCCGATATTAATATTGATAGCTCTATGTAATACTATTTCAGAAATTTTTTATCAAAAGCATAACAAAAGAAAGTGTAATAGCCTCCTTGTTTCAAGCAAAAGAGAAAAAAATTAAATAACCAAGGACCACTTGTAGACATTTCTTCAAACACGTAGAGGGCATAAAACATTAACCTAAAAGGAAATAATTTATGAATCAACTGAAGATTTCAAAAATAAACAAATATGAGCAGTAACTAATTGCATTACAAAAAAATAAACAAATTCAAGTAATTATAAATATATACTCCGTAAATAGTAAAAACAACAAGATTTACCCTTTTAAATTATATCTTAGAATTGGGTTGCAAAAATAAGGCAAAGGGCAATTAGAAATTGACTTTGAAGAGGAAATACAGAAAAGCAATGAAAAACACAGTCATCAAATTACTAATAATAGCCTAATACATACACTTGTATGTTGATATTTTAATTTAATGATGTTTTTCTCACATCTAGTTAGGGATATTTCTTCTTTTTTTTAATATTTCATAATATATGCGACTCATACTTTTTTAAAATCGAAGGGGAATAATGATGCCCTTTCACTTAAGTATATGTGTCCTTGTAATGCCATTAAAGCTTAATCAACAAGTATGTAGTACTCATTCCGTCTCATGATGAGTAAAATTCACAATAATTTTATTTGTTCCGTGTTTATGTATTTAATTATATATTATTGTCACCTCTTTCGGCTTTTGGAGATTTTGACATTATATTCCTTTATATGTAAGTTATTCACTAATTTTTTATTTCTATATAATTTTAGTTTTGAAAAATTGCAAACTGGCTCAGTCTCACTCACTCCTTCAATCGTTAACTCACATCTCTCCTCTTAACTATTCCCTTGGTCCTAAATTAAATTGCTTGTTTTAGTTTACGATATCTAACTGAAGTTATTTTCAAATCATTTTATATGAAAACTTATGTAGATTTAAAAAAAATTACTCATATATTTAAAAACTAGATCTAAAAATCTACAAAATTAGTGGTGACATGATTATATTATTTTTTTAAATAACTAGTGAAATAAGAAAAGAAAGTGAATAAAATTTGACTATATGAATAGTAAATAGGTAATTTAATTTGGGATGGAGGGAGTAAAAAAACTCACTTTTCTCCCTTTGATTCACCCCATTACTTCCTTTCCCAATTGTATTTGTCTTATTTTGATTTTTTGTACTCAACTATGATTATATTGGTCTTTGACTTATATTAAATAAAATTACATGGTATATTTGTCATATAAAAATATTTTTAAAAACTTTTACAAGGTAAATCTGATAAAAAGAGTATTATATCAATATACATTATAGTGTAAATTTTATTTAATTAATGGCTAAATTTTATCAATTTGAAATGTAAAATGTAAAAACTAGACAAATATTTTGGGACAGAAGAAGTTAATTGTTACATCAACTTTTATAACATTTAATGATTTAAAATTGTACTCCCTCCGTCCAACTTTAATATTCCCAATTTGACCGAGCACGCATATCAATGTGCAATAAAAATTACATTGACTTTTTGGTTGTTTAGTAATCCAAAATAATCATAAAGAACAAGACAAAAATGAACTTATATCGGACAACGGTACGAACACTAAGCACACCAAGTGATGATGAACCATAAAACTGCATCGTAATGCCACCCTCAGTGCTTATATCTTTATTCCATCCTAACCCAATAGTTTTCCAAGTGCACGATGGAATGTAGATACATATGCACCCAGAGAACGCATTTGAAAAACGTCATGCTAAAAAAATGATGGAACTAAGAAAAAGAAATACATTCACCACTTAATTGAGGGTAGTTCAAGAATAGCTCCAAAGTGGAAGCTATTTAAATTTTACTCCTATTGAGTAAATTTTAAACAGTGTCTTGGTTGGTCGATATATGTTATTTCTATATTATAGCATCTCAGATCATGTAGCATCAAACAAATACTGCATGAATCATTTAAATTTACTCCGTAATCAAATAATTTTAAACGGGTATCATGGTTGGTCGATATACGGAAGAAGCTATTTAAATTTTACTCCGTAATCAAATAATGTTAAACGGGTATCTTGGTTGGTCGATATATGTTGGATGACCACAACGGCGAGGCCTAGGGTGAGGACGACGTTGAACAAGCGACCACAGTAACGCAGTAGCAGGTGACAATGATGGGAAATGACAAGCGAACGCTTGAAGAAATGAGGACGCATAAGAGATAGACTTTAAGTGGTTCGTTTTAATTCAATCTTTTGAATAGTTTATTAGTAATAAACGATTCAATAGGCTATTGAATCAATTATTACTAATAACTGATTCAAAAGTTCATATTACTTCTGTCCCTGAGTATTTGTCCAGTTTTGTTTTTTTTATTTTAACTTTTGACGTATAATTAAATAAAATATACAGAGTACATTGTATACTAATTAGATAAAAAATATTTTGAAAATATTTGATCTAATAAAACTATTTTAATATCAATATCTAATATCATTTTTTATTTAATTTGAAGTCAAAATTTATCAATTTTGACGGAAAAAAATCAAAAATAGACAAATACTCAGGGAGAGATGGAGTAATTATTTGAATCCTATCTGTTATTAGTAATAACTGATTCAATAGCCTATTGAACCGGCTGTTTACTAATAACGGATTCAAAAAAATACTAGTTGGCAAAATCTTGCACCTCATTTTCATCGGTTTTCAGTGAAACCTAATCTTTTTGTAGTAGTGATTTGGAATTGATAAACCACGTGGAAATGTGAATGGCAGCAACATAGTCAAATTTAGTTAGATGCTATAGCGATGGAGTTGGAGCAGTCCATTTGACACAGAAGTCTTGTTCCAAAGAGGCGAAATCAGCCTCACGCTCTGCTCGGCGGAATTGTGAAAGGATGTAAATTCTAGTGACTCAATCGACAAGAGAGGCAAAGGCCAGTGTTCATTGCGTACAACGGACCCCTCATTTTCCCGAAAAGTTGGCATTGGCGCTGGTGAAACTTGATCTTTAGTTTCTTGTTCCAAATTTAGGGGCTGTTTGTTTCAGCCTCTTAATGGTTCAGATGTCTGAATGGTTCAGCACTTAATGGTTCAGACTATTTGTTTCAGCCTCTTAATGGTTCAGATGTCTGAATGGTAAGAGATTTGCCTCTGAATGGTTAAGACCTCTTATCTGAATTGATTAGACATTTGCCTCTGAATAGTTAAGCAATATACTAGCTCTTAATGGTTCAGACCTCTTACTGGTTCAACACTTAATGATTCAGACCTCTTACTGGTTCAGCACTTACCTATTCAGAAGTTGCCAAACAGCCCCTTAAACTCTGGAACAAATTGACACATACACAAGTCTCTATTGCGATGGAAACCGGCCACATGAAAGTGAGTTAAGTGACAGCTTCCTACTTTCTTCATATGTGGCTTTAGATAAAAGAAATATAGAGAGAGAACCAATATTTGGATCGATAAGTGAAAAAAAAATTTTAAAAAATACGTCGGATTAAAAGAAAATGAAACTTTTCGTCTTTATGAAGACTCCTAATTTTAGAGTTTTTTGTTTTTATTTTTATTTTTCTAATTTTAGAATTAATAAAAAAAGTTTTTGATAGATTAGCGAGCCATTTTTTAATTACAAGCAATTACAAATTTTTTTTTTATGTTCAAGTAATTACATATACTGCGTAGTAATTTAGAAGAAAATAATAGGGCGATTTCAATAATTTAGTACGTAGTAATTTCAATTATAAAGAGAGGACATTTCAGTAATTTGATTTATTCCATAACAAGATTTCCACTTTTCTTGATAACATTTTGGTGGGCCGAGAAGAACTAGTAGAGTGTCGGGTAAATTTAATCACTTTGTATATAAAGTCGGGATCCATTATTTTAACACAAAAGATTAAGCTGATAGGATTTCACCCTTCTATATATATGCTAATGATATTCATCTTTATTTTTCGATGTTGAACTCCGACCAACACTCTCCCTTAAGTGGTAACTAGCCTAACCTAGTTAGCACTTGGACAAACGGGTTTAACATCTCA